ACACACACCCGGCATGATTTTTAAGCCACTAGGTCTGGGACTCAAACCACAGTTGGCCACATAGGAATCTAGCACCTTAACCACTATGCACCACTATGCACTATATGTCCCCAAATATATGTTTTAAAAAAGAATTATTTAATTTTATTTATTTTAATTTGACTAGAGAGGGACAGAGTGATAGAGAAAGAGGCAAAGTGAGAATGTAAGCTGTTAGGTCTAGGACTCCAACCACAGTCGGCCATGTGGGACTCCAGCGCCCTTAACCACTATGCCATCTGCTGGCCCCCCAGATGCATTTTTTAATACTACATATCTTGACCCTGTGATATTGGGCTCTCGTACTGAATATAGGGCCACGTGTCAGCAATGCATCATCAGGGGTAGAGTACCTGAGATGACTAAGTACAGACATAACCGAACATGTCTGAGACTGATTTCAGACCTTCATCTGTGCTGCTAAAAAACAAGGGTTGCTTCACTGTCCATTCTCCTCGTTTCTAGCCACTTCTGAGGGCAGATGTCTGGTCTTGTACTTCTCAGTGCCCGGGTGGAAGTGGCTTTCCCGGCCAGTGTGGCTGAGGCACTGTGAGCACGTGGGCTGGCCCTGAGCCAAATGATCCTCCAGGTCATGCCTGCCCTGCGTTTAGTCATGGCATCTCTCCCACCATGACCTCGTCGCCTTGGTGGCTCAGACCTGTGATCTCAGCAGATTTAAGGAACCATTCTAGAGTGAAGACTTGGGATCCTTTAGCCCTGGCACCAATCGTCTCAGTGCGTAGCGAGCTAATAAATGGCACAGAATAGAGCCCAAACATATCTGACGGGGGGTCCTCTGGGTAAAATTTTCCACCTGTGGCAGCTGCTCAGATCTGAATAGTTCACTCTGACCTTTTCCGTGCCACTTGTCTAAAGATCGCCTGCAGACTGCTCCGTCATGAAGGCTTCCTGCCAGTGGAAAACCATGACTGCATTTTATGCCATAATTGAGTGGAGACAGGATTTACCTCATCGGAGCACCTTGCCTGTCTGACTCCATTTCATATTATTAAAAACAGAGACTTAGGACTTCAGCTTTTTTTTTTTTATAAAAAAATTTATTGAGATGATGTAATTATAGGCTTTTCTTTAAAAATTATTTGCAACTCACTGGCCCTGAGAAAAGGCATTTTTTTGTTTTTGTTTTTTTTTTTCTTTTTTGTTACATTCATTTGATTCAGTCCCTTATAAACCCCACACCTCATAAACAAAGAGAGATTAGAAACTAAACCAAAAAAAAAAAACCAAAAAAACAAAAAACCAAAAACAAACAAAAAAAACAAAAAAGTGTTAGAAATTCTAGATTTTTTCTGGTTTGCAGGTGGTTGCCGTCACAAAGAGAAATCTTCAAGAATGTTCACTTGGCATGTGCGAAAGATTCAGGGAGTTTGCAGTTGTTTAGTGTCGCTGCAGACGGGGCCAGGAGAGTATCAGGTTAGTCTTCTGTGGTTTTCAGACAGGCAGGGATTACTGTGTCTCCCCTCCTCCCACCCCGCAGGCTTCCTTGTTCCGCTCCCTTTCTTCCAGGCTTCTGTTCAGAAGAGAAGCAGGCCGAGTAGGGAACAGCTTCTAACTAGCACCGAATGCTTGGGCACAAAAACCTGTCCTTTGTTCTTTGTGGATTTTCCCAAATATTTTCTTTTCAGTTTCCTGGGTGGAAATGGGTCCAATGGGGGCCTGGCCAGGCTGGATTCCCAATCCTAATTGTGTCCCTGGCATACTCTGGGCTTCTAGCTCGAGTCCTATGGTACCCCTGGCACTCCGGGTTCCAGTCTGCAAAAGGGAGTTTTCAAAAATGTATTTAGAGTTGGATCCTGGGCAGCGCAAGGTGGAGGCTGGGTCATTGAGTCGTCTCAGTAAGCTGTGTCATGGCCGTGTGAATTTCAGCTAAAGGAACACTCTCATTTGGACAAGATGTGAGTATAGAAAGACAAATGGATCGGAGAACCCCAAACACACTGTTGAACAGAGAAAAAGTCATGATCTGTTGTTCTTTTCCTGTAGGGACCCCTCTCCCCCAAAGACTCTCCAACATTAGAGTTGGTGCTTTAGGCAAGATCATGTTGCCTTGGGCCAAGAAGATCTCAGAGATGACACTGCCTGTCTTTCTGCTGATGGAGAAGGCAGGCTGGCTAATTTAAGATGAGAGAGGATTTCAAGACAGCGCTAAAGAATGCCCAGGTCTCATACAGCACTGCTTTTCTGCTTTTTATTTTCCTGACTTCAGGTTTTGTGAGCCAAGAATTCTCATGATGGCAACAAGGAAAGGCCAACTAGTGAGATGACAGATGGGCTTTTAATTTGGTCCTGGTGAGATTATTCATCGCCCCTAGGAATTAGTATTGAACTGAGAAAGTTTGTGCTAGATAGATTCTACAGGTAGAATATCCACTCTTGGAGGGCAGGGATGCCTGAGTTCTCTCTGAACCCCTCATGGTATCTACCAGGTGCTTCATCAAGGTTTGCTAAGAGGAATCTGACATTGTAGACTCTGCATCCTCACTGTCAGCACTGCCCAAGCCTTCTCTCAAAGAACAGGAGGACTTCTGCAGTTAAGCATATCAACAGAAAAATCATTACTGGTAATACTGGTTGAGTATCCCTTATCTGAAATGCTTTGGACCAGAAGTGTTCTGGATTTTGGACTTTTTCAGATTTTGGAATACTTGCATATATGGAATGAGCTATCTTGAGGATGGGACCACATCTAAACAGGAAATTCATTACCTCTTTCATATCCACCTTACACACAGAGCCTGAAGGGAGTCTTATACTATATTTTTGTACTGCAATGTTTTGACTAGGACCTCTCACATAAGGTCAGATGGAACTGTCCCCTTGTGGTGACATGTCAAGGCTCAAGAGGTTTCAAATCTTGGAGCATTTTGGATTTTCATATTAGAGATGCTCAACTTGTATCTGAAGGGAAATTAAAATACACTGGAATTTGCATGTCCTGTTTCCAGTGGCCAAAGGTATCATCCTAACTTATCTAATCTCACAGGATAGCTTTAAATACAGACATCCTTGGGTAAAGGGAATTTATCTCCGTAACTCAATTATGAGATTTGCTGAACAGGAAGAGCCTGAGTTCTTATACTTGGGTAAAGCAGCCAGGAGGAGGTGTCCTCATCTTTGAGAAGAGCAACATCATGTTCTGGTCTCTGATTTCATATTCATACAAAAGGCCTTTGTCAGAACCTACCCTCTCTCTCCAGCTCTTCAAATCAATGGTTTTCACAACACCTCAGGCATCTGGCTTAATCTCTCCATTTGAGATACAATATCAGTCATCTTAGAGCTGGGAAATGCATCACCGTCTCCTGCTG